TTGCCCCCAAACAACAGCCTCTTCCTCCTCCCCCCGCCCGTTCCGGAGACGCTCCTCGGAATTTCGCTCTTCCCTAATAAAACGGTTCCTCTGTCCCGCGAGGGGCAGGACCCTGCTCCTCGGTCCTGTTACACCCTGGCCCGACCTAGGAACAAGGGAGAGATCCTGACCCCCTGTCCCCAGCTTCGCTCCCGGCTCAAACCGCGGCCCTGGCCATGCCAGGCTGCTCTATCCGCTCGCCCTCGTGGCGTTAGCCCTGCCCGGGAGCAGAGAGGAGGAATTAAGAGAGAAGCCGCGGGTCGCAATCCATGGAGCAAAAGAAAAGCAAAAAAAAAAAAAAAGAGAGAGAGAGAGAGAAGGAGAAATAGCGCTGGGCATCGCCTACCTGCCGCTCGGGAGCCGCGCCGCCGCGCAAGCACCGCGCACTGCGGGAGCTGGAGGCATCCCGGCATTTATTGGAGCTGAAACTGGGCGACTGTTGACTTTAGCACAAAGCAAAGATTTCACTGCCCGCTAGTTTAAAAATGAATATTTTACCAAGATATCGATCAGCTTTATAAAATTCAGTTAAGCACAATGGCTCCAAAGGAGGAGGGGGGGGGGGAAGGAAGGGGACGCAATATAATATCTGTGTAAATTTGCTGAAGTATGACGTGGTGTTGAAAGTTTACCCTCCTGGAATTTGGATCTAGACTTGCATTAACTCTTAGAGAAAACTTGTCGATGGGCTGAAATCACATGAGCCAGGCAATATTAGAAAAAGAAAATAGAAGTGAAATATTTGACATGGTAATCATTGAGTAATTCAAGGAGTTGGCAGAAAAATACTCCCAAGAAAAGATATATAACACTAAGAGAAAAAAAAAAAAAAAAGAGGAGAAGCAAGGGGGTAAGAGAAGAAGAAATGTTTGGTGTGGTCCTCTTTATTCCCCCTTTACCCGCTCCGCCAAGTCCTCCCATGCCTGGAATTCGGCGTGAATGGGAAGGGGGAAAAAAATAATTGATTAAAAAAGAAATCAGGACTAGACAGATCCATCTCCACGCACGGGGCTGGATCTGATGCTGAAGTCGTTCAAAAGCAGCGCTGCGCGGAGGCGGCCGCTGCGGGACGGCGCAGGTTAGAGCGCGGCAGGCGCGGCGCGCTGTCCCCCCGGCACTGTCACCCCGCGCCCATTCTCCTGCCCCGCGGGAGCCTTTTATGTGCTAATGAAACACATTGGATGCCTCGCTTCACAACGTGTGTGTCCTCGCCGTATAGAGACGGCGTCCTTGTTTTGTTTTTGGAAGGTTTTTTTTTTTTCCCCTCCTTCCCACCCTTTCCTCCCCACTTTTTTTTCCCCCCCCCCCTCTCTTTCCCCAAACAATGCGGAATTTTAAGGCGGATTTGAATGTTATTTCGCGAAGCAACATCTATTACTCCCTTAAACGCGTGGGAACGACAACAAGTGGTTGGGAAAACGAGCAGAATGTGGATGGCCGGGGTAGAAAAAGATAAATAAATACGTGTAAACAGCCCCCGCCGGGGCAGCCCGAGCGGGGTTGATGCGGCGGAAGAGTGTTTTTCTCCCAAGGCCGCAGCGCGTCGTAGGGTTAAGAGTAGTTCAGAGATGTTTAAGGAAAAAAGCCCCCCGTATCCGACCCGCTGCTGCTGCTCCGGGATCGCGGCTCCGCCGACCCCCGCGGAAGGCAGCGAGCCGCGGACGGGGCCCCGGGGCCGAG